CCGCGCCTCAAACGCTGCCCGGGCCCCGACTACCGTCGGCCCGAGCAGGAAGTGGCGTGGGGAGGCCATTTTTAAAGCCGCCTGCGGGCCTCGCAGCCAAGCGTGGACGGTCTTTAGTTTTCTGCAATTGGAAGCGGTCCCCGGACGTCCCCGGGAGACAGCGACGCAAGGTCGGTGTCCCCACGCCCGCCGTTGGCCGAGCACCCGCCTAGATAGCGGGCGCCGTCGGCGGGAGCGTGCCCACAATAAACTTGAGAACCAGGCTGGCATTGTCTTTCCTCAGAGCGCGCGAGTGTGACCAGCGATGGGCTCTTCCTTTGAGGACCTGGGCATCTGCGGGGGGTGGGGGGAGGAGGGAGCGGAGGATGGATGGAGACGGGGCTTGAATTGTCCAGGTGCTGATGTCATCCTCTGTGGGACCTCCCTATTCCAGCCTGCCCTTTTTATCTAGTTGCCTTTGGAGTTTGGGGCTGTTGGAAGGCCAGAAAACTATGTAGGGGTCAAAGAAATGAAAGCCTCTTAAGTGGAAAGGGAAAGCGGGTAGAGAGAATAGGAGAAAACATCTCGTCTTTATAGAGAAGTTGGGCATTTAATGTGTCCCATTAAAAAATACCCCTGACTTTAAAAACTGGGAGAATGAATGATTTATCAACGTAATATTAAAAAATTAGTAAAGTGGAATAGGGAGCACGATATCCTGTTTAAAAGTAGAAATCTACACAGCTGAAAGGTAGCATGCTGTCAGAAATCACCAACAGTTAACACAAACTTTGGTCTCCAGAATCTTTGCACTACAACCCTGTAGAAGAGCCTGGGAATGTAATCTCTTATCTTACTCTGAGTCACATATGCAAAGTTCAACACAGCCTGTAATGCAGGGATTCTCAACCTGTGGGTCGCGACCCACAGGAACTGTATTAAAGGGTTGTGGCATTAGGAAGGTTGAGAACCACTGCTAATGTGTGTTCATAATTGAAGATACCAGCCAAGGATTCAGAAAATATTGCCAGAGTTGTATACCAGCGTTCTTAAGTAGTATACACGTAGAGTGTGTGGTGTTTTAAATTGTATGATAATGATACCTTTAACCTAGGATGTATTTTTTAAAAAGAAAAAAAATGTTATCTTGGATTAAATACAGCCTTTGAAAATACCACTTTTGTGTGCATCCAGTTTTGTTATGCTGATAACATCCATTGCAAGTGCAGCTCAGAGACCACAGACAAAGGGGAGTGAGAGCTTTACTTTATTTACTGGGACTCCTCCCTGATACGTTTTGCCAAACTTAAGAAGATTCGAGAAAGGCAAAATGGCAATTTAAAAAAAGAAAACACTTCAGTCTCCCCAGGTCTGTTTGACTTTAAGTAAGGGGATTTGGGCCAGTTTTTGTGCAACAAAGAACGGTGTCTTTATTGTCACTATGAAGGCTGCCACTTCTTTCCTTCACACTTTCAACCAATAAACATTTTAAGTGTCTTCCTTGGCCAAGCCCTTGGCTTTTGATTATGGTAAACAAGATTGTGCGGCAAGTGTTTTCCCAGCCTTGATTTTTCTCAAACTGCCTGTTTTCTGCATTTTCTTTGTTATGTAAACTCAGCCAACTGCAGTTTTCAGGATTCTTCCTCGGAGGAAGGCAGTGAGAGACCCATCCAGATGCATCTCACTGTGGGCTGGGAGGTGGGAGGCGCTGGGGTTGCCTGGGAAAAATGTTAAACTACATCCCAGGAAAAGGGTGATCTGATTCATCAGGTCCTGTGTGTCCTGGGAATCCGTTTAGTTTTTGTTTTAAGGCTCCCTGGGTGACCTTGCCGTATACCCCTGCTTGAGAAGCACTTCTGGGGCTCATTGCCCTTACTCTGAACACACCCTGAGAAACCGAGACTCTACCAGTGCAGGACTCAAACCCAGGTGTCTGGCTTCTGTTGCAGGCCTGTGTGCAGCACCTGCTGCCACCCAGAGAGCTGAGGGAAGAAGCCGACCAGGGCCTGAAGTTGGGAAATCCATGGCATTTGGCGCCTGAGAAGAGAAGGCCCGGAAAGGAAGAGCCAATGGGACTTGTCAGGTTTTTGTTTTATATCTGCAGCTCCGTGGCTCCAGGCAGGAAATAGAACAGTGATCGAGTGGCAGCAGATCCTTACTGTCACTTCAGCTCACACAGCAGGGTAGCAGGAAACAAAGAATTTAGAGTGGACGCTGCTGCTCTTCACCAACGAACACTGTGGCCTTTCCAGGCTCGTTATCTTGGAAGAAGCAGATAGCTAAAGGCTGATCAAGGTAACATGTGCGCCTGCTTGTGCAGGCCCTCCCCCCAACCCCTGACTAGGGCCAAGGTGCCCCAGGATTGACCAGGAGAGCACTCTCATCAGATCCCTGGTAGAGCTGGTAGAGATTCTCCCACCGCACTGAAACCACCTGCTCCTTTCTCTCCATCTCTTGTTACATGCCTTAAAGATGGCTCTCCTGGCAGGTAGGGTAAGACAGTTCTGGTTGGTGTCATTGTACCCAGTGCCTAGCACTGTGCCAGGAAAATTCACGTTTCTAAGAATCTATAGAGTATATAACTGCCATTGTATGCATTACAGGCAGGGTGGCCTTGTCCTGCCTACAAGCACCCAGAAGTAGGTTAGTTCTATGAAGTATTATACAGGGATGTTGACATCATGCTGGCTGTTCCTACATGCACCTGAATGTTGGGTGATAATCAGCCTATTAGAATCATGTAGGAGGCTTTTATTCTCCCCCTCCCCCACAACCTCCCCAATTTAACTGGAGTCTTTGGGTGATAGAGGCCAGGTATCATTTTTAAAGCTGCAAGATAATTCCAGTGTATAGAATTAGACTGGACTCCCTCAGCTACTTGGGAGTCTGAGGCAAGAGAACCACATAAGCCCAAGAGTTTGAGGTTGCCGTGAGCTGTGATCTCACGGCACTCTACCAAGGGGAGACTCTTGTCTCAAAAAAAAAAAAAAATTTGTTTTTTTTTAAATAAGTTTACTATCTTAAGCAGATAACTAGTTGACCTAATGCAGCCAAAGTTAAGAACCACTTGTCTAGTAAAGGACAATTCTTCTGTTTTTGATTATACTTTTTATCAAACTCTTAATCCATTTCTTCTGTAATATTTGGGTTTTCCTTAAGGCAGGTAAAAGGAGGGAGTAAAGCATAGACCTGAGGCCACTTGCTGTGTTTCTTGACATAGACTGTTGTAGCAACATGTAAATTACTGCCTTTTCATCATATACGTAGTTATATATATTTTTAATACAAGCATATTTGCTGTTTCACTTTTTTTTTTTTCACATAAGACACTTTAAGTTTTAGGCATTTAAGATTCTAGCACTGGTCATACTCTTTCTTTTGGAAGATTTTCTCTTAAAACTGTTAAAGCCTATAAAATCCTTTGTTTGACGTGGGCTCGGCTGACGCGCTCAAGTTGTGTTGTCAAGTCACTCCCCAAAGAAGTCCCTGTAGACAGGGTGTAGGCACCACCACCCTCCCCTCCTGCCCACTACTCAGCTCCTGTTGCTGTAGGCCTTTCCCCGCGACATCCTTTTTATAAGTTTACCAGTTTTCCTCTGGGCATGACTGAACACTTCTCCGTGTGAAGAAGTTTCAGAGAAAGA